AAGGAAACCTTGCACAGAATTCTGTCCACAGCAGAGTCTGGGGAAACAGATGGAAAGGAACTGCACCAGACACTCAAGAGCCAGTTGGCCTGTGTTCAACATGGCTGTCTCATGGACATTTTTAGCAGAACTTGAGTTTGAAAGCACAGCACTAAACTGAAAGCAGAGCTCTATCTTCATGAGAGCTCTCCTGAGGGTTGGTGACTTAATGTAAAGAGAGACAGTCTTCAAAAGACCAGAAATGTTTACCTCAGTGGGAATGTACATAAACTGCATGTATTCAGGAGGCCAAGGCCAGAAGATGCATTTTAAAAGCATAAAAGGAGAAATTTGCATACATTACCTGGATACAAAGTTCTCTGATCATGGAGGCCCCAGCTGGAGTTTGCTTCAGGTCATGGCTGGAGGTGCCATTGCTATACAGGGCACCTTTCTGGATTGTTGCATCCTGAAAGAATGCTAAAGGAATTTTGTTACATATAACTGGGTGTACATAGGAAACTTTCAAAACACAGGGTGCGTGTAGAGAGAGAAATCTCTGATGCTCCTTGAGAAAGTCCTGAAAAAGTCATTATCTTAGAGAGACCTAAAAAATTTCCAGGTTTTCCTGGAATTTGGGGACTCCCTTTGCATTTGCCAGATGATCCTGGAGAAATCAGGGTTCCTTCTTGAGGTTGTTAGTTTTGTTAATAAAAGAATTTAAAAATAGATTCAAACAGAAGGTTTGATGGCAACTTTATTAGAGTTTAAAAGAACACTCTAAAGTAGGAAAGTTGTGAATTTCAATAGCTACCCAGAGTGAGAAGGGAGAGGAGGGGAGGAGAGAGGAAGGGAAAGGAGAGGGACATTTCATTGTGTTACCAGTATAGAGATCACAACATGGCAGCAGGTAGCCCATGGTATGGAAGGTGATTTAGAGAAAAATAAGGAAGCCCAAGGAACCAGGGAAAGCATATGTAGGTTCTGGTCCTCATCTAAATAAAAGAGATGGGGAAACAAAGAAAAAGATAGCGTCAGTCCTGACTCAAAGTGGACAGAACCAACCCACCTCATGGTGACTTGACTTGTAAAGATTGGGCTATCAGATAGAAATTCTGGGAAAGAAAAGTACAGTATTTCACTACAGGAAAGGTTATTCTACCTATCCCCTTAGCACAGCTTAAGGTTAACCTATCTTCCTAGAAGGTCCATTGGCCAGTGATTGACATGGTCCATCTAGAGTATTAGGTTTCCATCCAGGTCAGAGGCTCTATTCTTTTGACCTGAGTTCTATTTCCTTAATGGGCCTTTAAAGGCGTTCATCTAACACTGGCTCCAGTTTTGTCTGAGTCCCTACACAAAACTATTGTACTTTGATATCTTCCGTTTTTACAGGGAAGGAAGCCTGGAGTTTCTCTGGGATGTTCCGGGGACTCATGTCTCATCTCTCCTCTTTGGCAGGTAAGGATCTGACTAGCCCTCTTGCTGTACACACTTTCTCATTCTGTCTCCCCTGGCTGAAGGTATTCCAAGATGGCATCCAGGCTCAGTCTGTGCACAACATCCAGTGACATGATTTGGGAAGAAGAAAAGGAGGAATGATCAGTGGCTTCTGCAAGTCAGAGAAAGAAATAAAGAGAGGAAAGATGCTCAAGTAGGAAGGAACTGGAACCCAGCACCTACCATGTTACATGTTGACATGACTGGCACTCATTTCCAAACTTTGCAAAGATAGAGAGGTTCTTTAAAAATATTTTGAAAGGGCCGGGCGGTGGTGGCGCACGCCTTTAATCCCAGCACTCGGGAGGCAGAGGCAGGTGGATCTCTGTGAGTTCAAGACCAAGCCTGGTCTACCGAGTGAGTTCCAGGACAGGCTCCAAAATAATACAGAGAAATCCTGTCTCGAAAAACCAAATATATATATATATATATATATATATATATATATATATATATATTCTAAAAGGATTCCATTTTGGAGAAGTTAGGACCCTCTGGGACATTTGTTTCCCACAAGAGCATTAACTCGGCCAGTCTTTTGTGTTATCTAGATTTTATTCAACTTGTCTTTGTCTGTTCATATTTTTTTCAAGCAGAGGTGATCACAGAGGCATGTACTGCTAAGGGATGGAGCAATAGCACCCTGTGTGATGTCCATGCAGAAGTACCTGCTGCCTGCAGAGCTTTCTTCCCAGACAGTGTAGCATGCCCATGGAATGTTCTAATAGAGAAGACAGATCTCCAATTGTTTCCAACAAACTGCTTCCAGACCTTGCCCACAGCCTAGACAACAAGCTCTTACATGTTCTAGAAAGGAAGGCTCTGGATGCTTAAGGGTAGCCTGTTTTCCAAAGGAGGAGAAGAAAAACAGATGTAAGTTTGAAATATAATAGATACATAATCAATTGGAGGTGAGAGGACGCTCCTTCACTGGAGATATAGACAGGATGATCAATTATGCTCACTGTGAGCATGCACTGTTAGGGGAGAATGGCGGAGACTGCTTAAAAACTCATTGGCTTTTACTGCCATTCAAAACAAGAGTAAGAAGCAAAGCAATGTCACAATGGACAGAAGAGCTTTGAGAACCAGAACAGACAAATAGAAGTTATACATGACACTTGCTATTCTGAAGTTCTGGAGCTATCCTGGGTGTCTTAAAAATAATTTCACACACACACACACACCTTAAAATAATTACCACTAGCCTTCTAGGTCCTAAATGAATTAATAAATAGAATAAAAAATTACTTAAAATTTGGGTAAAGTTTAAGAATATTCATGTTCCTAACACCAGCCCAATTTAAAAGTTTTATTTGATGCTTAACTGGGATTGTTTCTAAGTTAGATTCACAAAAGTTTTCAAGTTTATTTGCTTAGATAAAATGGTCTAAAATAAAGAGAAGTATTAATATTAACTATTTGGAAAGTTGCTAGACTTAAGTTTTACTTCTAGCTGAAAGATAACTCTAGAAAGAAAAAGAAGGTCCCTCAAGGATGTGTCCCAAAAATATGGACATCAGCTATTATTTATCCAAACGAGTTTGGATAGTGTGTGGTATAAGTACTCTAAATGCATTTGAAGTACATATTAATTATCTGTGATTGCATTAAAAACTTACTCCAGAATTTAAGAGCTTAAAACAACCATTATCTCACATAGTCTATAGGGTCAAGAATCCAGGAATGGCTTAGGTAGATGCTGGTGACTCATGAGATTATTGCCAGCTGTCACTTGAGGCTGAAGTCTTTGGAAGTGTCAGCGGGAGCCAAAGAATCTGCTCCCAAACCTGCTCACATGGCCCTTGACAAAGTGACCAGAGTGAGATGGAAACTGGTGTCTTGGAAATGACACAGTGTCTCTTCCTGTCTTCCTTTAATGCAGATGAGTTCTGGTGCAGTGTGGGAGGGAACAACACCAGTGTGTAAGGACAGGAGAAGGACATGTTATAGACTGGCAGCCAGAGTGTACCCTTGGGGGCTCTAGGACCTGTGTCTCTCCCACGTATAAAATGCATTCACTGCACTCTAATACTGCTAAGATTCCTATTTTATAACAGCATCAGCTCAAGCATCAGAGTCTTGTCATTTTAATTATGTCCGGTTACACACAGGATTCCTCAGACACAGTTCCTTGAGTAGGATACTAGTCATTTTTTTCATCGCTGTGGCAAATACCTGATAAAACCAACATAAAGAAATGACTTACATTGATTCATTGTGGTGGGGATATGGTGGTATGCTGGGAGGCAGCTAGCCACACTGCAAGGGAGGAGAGCAATGAACCCTGGTGTTCAGCTGAGCACCCCCATCTTATTTAGTCTAGAATCCCAGCCCATGGAATGGTACCTCCCACATTTAGGGTAAACTCCTTCACAGATGTGCCCACAAGTTCGTCACTAGGTGATTCTAGGCACTGTCACATGGACAACCCAAAGGAACCATCACAAGAACAGTTCCCATCAATTAAAAAAAAACAGCAACAACAAAACTGGAAAAAGAAACATACATACACTATATAGTATCAGACCAGGAACAGGTTAAACATCCCATATGTTAGTATTCCAAAGGACATAAACTAGAGGTACACAGAAGTTCGTGGAGCAGCTCTCAGCCTACCAGGATATGCTGAATTGCCTTCAGACTCAGTCCTGTCCTGGATTATCCCATGCCTCCTGACTATACCTTCCAAGTTATCCTCCCTTTCTCTCGAAATTTAGTATATGGACACAGAAAATTGTTTCTCAGCTTTTGGTTCAATAGGGACAGGATAGGTACAAAGTCCTTTTGCCTGTCTCTATCCCTTTGAGTCCTTACTAGAAAGCTATTTGATGATTTTTAAATGCTTTTCATTTAAAATGTTTTTTAAGCTCTTGTGAATCGCCTGTGAGTTGTATCTGATGGATTCCATTAGACAAAAGTCACACATACATGTCTGCAAGATATTTAATCACTTTCTTGTGATTCATGATTCTGTGAAATATTCTTAGTCTTCTTATAGCCCCTATTTTGAGAGGATCTATGAATCATAGCCTTAAAAACATTAAAGGGTATGGAGGTCCATAGAAGTGGCTCCATCCCATCTTAACTTAAGGTCAGAAAGTCCGAGTCTATTTTTGCTCCTTCAAGGTTAAACAGCAGGGTGTTTGGCCTAAGGTGTGGCTAATGGGTGTTTTACCTAAGCAACAGGATATTTAGTTTAGGGTGTGGTTGCTTCATGTTTTGGGTATTAAGAAAGTAATTACATTTGTTTGTTCTTTGTATTATGGTAAGGAAGTATTTTGCCTTCCCCCTTTTGATTGAGGTATATAAGAACTTTGAGTAATAAACTTGGGGCAGATCCCAGTATTCACTGGATGCCCTTCCAACTCTATTTTTCTTTTCTTTTCTTTTTTGAGACAGGGTTTCTCTGTGTAACAGCTTTAGCTGTCCTAGAACCAGCTTTGTAGACCAGGCTGGCCTTGAACTCACAGAGATCTGCCTGCCTCTGCTTCCCAAGTGCTGGGATTAAAGGTGGGCACCACCACTGCCCTATCTCCTGTTTCTTGTCTATTTCTTTCCTGAATCCACACTCCCCTTCTCAGGAACATATGGACTCGTCAGCAGGAGTGGACAAAGGGGCTCCTAGGTCTGAATGGTGAGTCTCCAACCAAGATTTGTATAGTAAAGGCTTAGTACTCAGGGTGGTGGTGGATGGTGGTATTAGTAGGTAGTAGAAACTTTATGAGGCTAAAGATCTTTAGCTCATTGGAGGCTTCCTTGTTTCTATTCTGTGGACATCCAATTATCTGTCTGTTCCTAACATTCTCCCACCATTGCCAACTGCCATGAAGTGAAGCAGTCAATGAGCCTTGCTGAGCCTGCCGTCCCTACCCTATTTGGAATTTGCGCCTTCAAAACTGTAAGCTAAATATATCATTTTTCTTTTTATAAGTTAGCTGCCTTGACTATTTCTCTGTAGTAATGCAAAGCTAATACAATAGTCTTTTGTGTGGTTAAAGTGGCACTCTTTAGGCATTACTTTTGATGGTTTTGAGATCATAGCAAAGAATTTATAGTTGTTCCCTCAGCTTCAACTTTGGGCCATGTTTCCATGACAGTGCCCTAGATTTGACCTTTACTTTTAAGGAATTTTTAAATGGTTTGCTATCTCTAGAAGCTGAGACTCTTCAAGTCCTAACTCCTCTCTAGTTAGCAATTCTTTCCTCAGCTTATCTCTCTCCTCTTGCATTTTATAAAGGGCTAAAGGGAGCCAGATGGTTCCTTCAACAGGCTGTCTCGAAATCTCCTTAGCTGGATCACCCAGTTCTTTATTTACATGCTCTGCTCTGCACATCACTACACACGACGACGACGATGCTTTAAGATCTCTGGCTCTACCTCACAGGATTCAAAGACCTGTTTCCAACACAGTTTTTCTCACTTTATTTTAAACCTCCACCAGAACATGACTATGGCCCTTAAATTCTCCCCAGCTGCCTCCTTTGCCTAGTTCCAAATTCATGACTACATTTTACCTAATCCTTATGGTTGTCTATTGCAATATTACAAAGCACCCCAAAATCTGGTCTATTAGAATAATGAACACTTATTATCTCACACAATTCCAGAGGAACAGGAATCTAGGAATAGCTTGGTTGAGATTTTTGGGCTCAGGGTCTCTTATGAGGCTTCAGTCAACTATAAGCCAGGGCTGAGTGGGGCTGAAGGTTCCATTTTTAGTCTTAAAGGGCTGTTGGCAAAATGACTTCCATATAGGAACACAGAGTACACAGCAGGGAGAGAGAGAGAGAGAGAGAGAGAGAGAGAGAGAGAGAGAGAGAGAGAGAGAGAGAGAACACATAACATCCTTATAATCTGATCTCAGAAGCTGCATAGTGTTACATCTGCAATATTGTATCAGTCATACAGATGAAATCATAAAAAATGGGGATGGAGTGAATACCTGAAGTTGAGATTATTAGGGAATAATTTTGGAGGGTATCACAGGGTTAAATGTCTCTCTTACCAGAGCCCATTGAAAAGCAGCTGCAATGCAAGAATGAAGCAAAGAAATAAAAATCTTAACTTTTCTGTTATTGAAAAAGCTAACTGGGGGAGGCTTGGATATGGACACAAATGGTATCAATACTTGACCTCAGAATTAGAACTGTTACCTAGATAAGAAAGTAGAAGACAATTATTTTTTTATCTCCTCCAGAGTTTATCACATAGACAGCATGTGTGTGACTGGAGAATCTACTTGGTGTGACTAGGATAATCTACAAGAGTAGTGACAAGTCAGAATGAGCACTGAGAAACAACATCGGTGTGCCTCTCTCCTCCTTCTTCCAGACAGGAGAACTGGGAGGGAAAAATCTACTGTAACTCTCTCCGTTCTCCAGAAGATCACCCCAGGTGTAACGAACGTGGTTCTCAAAGTTGAACATGTCCAGTGCTGGATCCCATCTCTCAGAGATCTGTATTCCTTTACAAGTTCATAGGAAATGCTGACATAGCTGCTCTGAGAACCCTAGTTTAACATTAGCCTGACACCCACAGTGCCATTTCTTACTTGCAATCCCGTTAGTCTTTGTAACAATATAAGGCCGGCTCCTCAATTTTCTGCAATTGGGCCAGGTTTCCATCCTCCTTGCCATGGAGAACCAATTTTCCAACAGGTCTGGCTCCAAAATCTGTGCTCTTCCTTCTGCAGCAGGTTGTCATCAATTATTAAGAACACAGCATTAGTAGGAAGCTGAGACTAAACGGTAATTTTCTAGAACTATTTCCTGCCAGCTCCACCTCTGATCTTCTTATCCTGTGGTCGCAAACCCAGCCTGCTCCATTTCACTTTGCAAAGCAGATTGTAAGGCTGGGGAAATAGCTGAGCTAGTGAAGCGCTTCTGTGTAAGCCCAAAGACCTGGGTTTGATCCCCAGTGCCCACAAACAAAGCTGACCGTGGTGGAGACAGATACAGGAGGAGACCCAGAGCTTGCCGGCCAGCCAGCCTAGCCAAAATGGGGAACCCAAGACTGACCCCACACCTCCACAGAGGGAGCCCTCCAAGGACCACTGCCCTGAAGGAGCGTTTGTTTTCAGTTCCCTGAAATTCTTGTCTTGGTCCCTTCAGACGCAGAGGCTGCACGCACCCTCAGAGTTCCACACTATCCATGTGGTTTCCCGCTCCTTGCTCCTTGTTCACACCTTTGTAAATAATACTCCCCTCTTGCATATGCTCATTGGATTTGCTGTTTCCCATGACCCTTTGTGAGCATTTCTATGAGCACAGTTAGGAGTTTCGCTTTCCTCAATCCAACCCGGTGACTTAGCTTAGGTCCTGGCCTTCTTCCTAGAACTAGGTAAGTCCATGGACTTCCTGGTGCTATCCAGATGGTAGCCCTCCACCAGCACTCTTGGTTTAAAGGTGCAAAACACCCGCTCCTGGCCCCGTATGTTTACTTTGTAGGTACACCAGATGGCAGGAGAACGTGGAAGGTGCTGCTGGCAGAATTCCTGTCATCAAAAATTCGTGCTGTATTTTAGAACCCCACAATTTTCTCCCTGACACCAGCCATTTATTCTGACAACAGGTAAATCATTCCTGAAAGGAAAACAGAGGTAAAATTGTCAGTCAAGGACTTTTGTGCTAAATGAGTTCCAGCTGTTTCCTCTTTTAGCAGCCAGCTGCAAGCCAGGTTTGCAAAAGAAAATGGGAAATCTACCTAGATTCAAGAATAGTGGTGCTCAAGGTGTGTGGGGAGGATGGTTCTGGCTTCTGGACAGCATCTTGGAAACTGGGGGAGAAGGTGGATCTTGAACTGTGGATCAAGGACCAGGGATACTTGTCAGCCTGTGAAGGAAGAGATGACCCCAAGCAACAGAGAATAACCCCTAAGGAACTTTAACATCCCAAGACCATTTATGTTGCCAAAAACCTGTTTATAATTATCTAGGCATAGGGGAGGCAGCGAGGGAATGAACACTTGCGTATGTAGAGCATTATTGTTCACTGACATTCCCATCAAACTCAATTGCCACATACATTGATGCAATTGCAGTATATGCCTTGTTGTTTTGTCTAAGTTTTACTGATTTGTGGAAACACTATTCTCAGTCTATATGAGTAGCTGTAACATTTAAGGCAATTCTATGAAAGTATTGAGTGCTTGACAGTCAACTGTATTATATGTTAGTCCCAAAATGTTGTATTCTTTTGTGATGGTGGTGGTGGCTTTTACAACAGTGTCTATGATGACTTCCAACTCACTATCTAGCAGAGGTTGGCCTTGAACTTGTATCTCTACTCCAAGTGCTGAGATTACAGGCATGTACCATCACTGTTACCCTGTGGAATTGCATTCTACTGCACATATGAACTCCATAAAGAAAATATCCCTACACACAATATTAAAGTCCGACAATATAGTAATAATAATATATACATATATGCAAATAAAACAGTTGAAATACTTCTTTTTAGAGCCTGGAAAGACAGTCCATTTGCTAATGTGCTTGCCATTCAAGTATAAGGGCATGAGTTTGGATCCCTAGGGCCCATGTAAGAAGCTGGGCATAGTGGTGCACACCTATAATCCCAGTGCTGGGGAGGCAGAGCCAGGAGCATCCCTGAAGCTCCCTAACTAGCCAGTTTAACCAGTCAGTGAGATGCCAGTTTAGTGAAGGCCCTGTCTCAAAGAAGAAAATAGCAAAGAAAAGTGGAGACTAAGGAAGATGATTGACATTGACCTCAGTCTGCACACCTCTTACAACTCCTCCTACATCTATGTGTACCCACATATAACCTTATCTCTCTCTCTCTCTCTCTCTCTCTCTCTCTCTCTCTCTCTCTCTCTCTCTCTCTCACACACACACACACACACACACACACACACACACACACACACACCTTTCCAGAATAGTCCAAGTTACACGGCAAAGTGTATACTTGGTTTGAAGGTGTAAAACACCCCCTTCTGGCCCCAGGCTTGCTTTGTAGGTAGACAAATGGCAGAAAAACTTGGAAGGTGCTGCTGGCAGAATTCCTGTCATCAAAATTCGTGCTGTATTTTGGAACCCCGCAATTTCATGCCTCATACCAGCCATTTACTCTAACAGCTTTAACAGTAATAAAAGCCTAATGGACACTGTGTGTGACTCTACTCCTTTCCCAGCCTCCTTCTTACCTGTGTCTCAGCCCTCAACGTTTCTCCTGCCACTCCCATCCCCATCCTTCTGCTTTCCTCAGGATCTAATGCATCCAATGACATCTAACGATCTACAGTGGTGATGGCACTTGCCTGTTTGTTACTCCTGCAGACCCTTGGAGCTTGTATCCTTTCTTACATGCCTGCCCCACAATAGTTTGTCAGTGCTTTGTTGCTTAGCAACACTGACCCATTGTTTACTGTTCCAATGAAGAGTCAAAGAGATCAGGTGCATTTTCCACATAGCCTTGGCCCATTTTTCTGTTGCTGTATTCAGTACCACTGATTGGGTAAATTATTTTTTAAAAATGGGAGGAGTGTATTTTGGCTTCTACTTCATGACCAGTCTTGAGGGACTGTCCCTGGAGATGACATTATTTTTAATTTTCTTTTATATTTATTTATAATACTCATGGGGTGGATGCACCACGGGACATGTGTGGAGATCAGAGGACAACTTGTGGAAGTCAGTTCTCCCCTTCTGCTATGTGTGTCCTAGGGTTTGAGTCCCAGATTAACAGGCTTGGCTGCAAGCTCCTCCACCTACTGAGCCATCTCATTGGCCATGGTGATGACATTCTTACTGGATAAGACCTACAACATTGTGGGTGTTTCGTGGAAAGACAGGAAACGTGAAGGATTTAGTTATACTGGCTTTTATATTGACTTACTACTAAGATAATGTATTAACTTGTAGATTCATTAATTCACTAATTGTATGAATAGATTAGTCCAATCGTGGAAGCAGAAACTTAAGTCACTTCTTTTTTTAAATTTGTGTATTTATTTGTTTTTTAATTATGTGCACATATGTGGGGGTGCACATAATTGTGCTCATGGAAGCCAGAAGAGAGTGTTGGGATACCCTGGAGCTGCAGTTACAGGCAATTGTGAGACACCTGACTTAGATGCTAGGGACCAAACCCTGGTCCTTTGTGAGACCAGTATATACTCTTTACCATTGAGCTGTTTCTCAAGGCTCCACAAACACCTCTTCAAAATCCCATTTGGTTTTAATACATCATGATGGGAACTAGATTTCAACCTGAGTTTCAGAGGGGGCAAACCATCTTCAAACCATACATAGCTTTCCTGGTCCCCATTGACCATCATTTGATGCAAGTTCCATGATTTTTTTAACCTTCTCCTTGAGTCCTAAACCTAAGTCTCATCTATCAACTTGACCTCCAGTGAGTTTGGATAAGGTGTTTAACCAAATCTAAGTCATTTGTTTCACTGCCCTGTTAGAGGTTCTTAAATGTTAGCACTCAGAGCCTTCCCTTGGGAGATTCTAATTTAGAGGTCTGAGGTACAGGAGAATTCTAACATCACCAATTTCCCAAGAGCTGCTGGTCTGGAGACAGTAGCTGTTGACTAGGAACATGTTTCAGTCACTGTTACCCCAACTCCAGGCACTTGTCTTCAATGATAACTCTCTGATCATGAAGTTTAAAACATTAGTCTCAAGCTGGGAGTAGTGGCACACACTTTTAGTCCCAGCACTCAGAAGGCAGAGGAAGGTAGATTTCTAGTTCAAGGCCACCTTGGACTACAGAGCAAGTTCCAGGGCTACACAGAGAAACACTGTGCATTAGTCATGGTTCTCTAGAATCACAAAACTTACAGAATGAATCTCTCTCTCTCCCTCTCTCTCTCTCTCTCTCTCTCTCTCTCTTTATCTCTAGAGACAGGGTATGATGGGAGGGAGGGAGGGAGGAAAAGAGAGAGAGGGGGAGAGAGAGAGAGAGAGAGATTATTTATTGGAAATGACTTAGAGGCTGCAGTCCAACAATTGCTAACTGTGAATGGGAAATCCAATAATTTAGTAGTTGTTCAGTCCCACGAGGCTGGATGTCTCAACTGGCTTTCTGTATATGCTGGAATCCTGAAGAAGTAGGCTCCAATGCCAGTGAAGGAATGGATATACTGACAAGGTGAGGGCAAGCAGATGGAGAATGAGTGACCCCTTCCTTCTTCCGTGTCCTTATATAGACTTTCCAGCAGAAGGTGTGGCCCAGATTAAAGCAGTGGCTTCCTGCTTCAAGATAGGGATTAAAGTTATGTGTCATCCAACCTCAAGATCTGGATCACAAGTGTGCCCTCCATTTATGGACGGTAGTTCATTTCAGATATAGTCAAATTGCCAACCAAAAATAGCCACCATGTGCTGTCTTGAAAAGCCAAAACAAAAAACAAAATAGAAACAATTACTTTCTGTCATAAAATTTGCAGCTATCGGGACTTAGATAGGATCAGTAGTACCAATGGTTTCCTGAACATATCCCAGACTCCTCAAGGCAAACCTGGTTCTGCCTTTTGAGTTAGGTGTCCCTCTGGAATAGCCAAGTTGAGACCTAGTAAGAAATAGAACTCTCTAGACCTCAGATACCACTCATCATTATGTAGGTCTATGTGCACAGAGATACCACATCTTACCTCTGACTGAAAGGGGACTTCTAAATTCTAGACAACTTAATGAGACCCAGTCTTCAAGTAAAAAGTAAAAAGAGGGCTAAAGATACAGCTCAGTGGTAGAAAACTTGCCTAGCATGCATGAGGTCCTGGATTCCTTCTTTAGTGGAAGTTACAAGCTTAACTCTGAAAACTCTTTAGGCATCTACTTCCCAAAACATTTATTATTTAGCTCACATATTTGCCCGACAGCCACAAACTTTCTCAAATTTTACATTTTTTTTTAGAATTTACATTTATTTGTATCTGTTGTGTGTGGGAGCAAGTGCGGGTCATCACACATGTGTGAGAGACATATGCACATGACATGGGAGTCCATTCTCTTTCTACCGTGTAGGTCCTGGGATAAACTCAAATCATCTGGCTTGGTGGCAAATGCCTTCATCTTCTTTTACCCACTGAGCCATCTTGCCAATCCTTGAAATGCAATATTTTAATCAGTTCACCTTCCCTGTCTCCCTCCTTCCTTCCTTCTTTCCTCTCCTTCCTTCCCTACTCCCTTCCCTCCACTGAGGACCGAATCTAGGTCCTCATACATGCTAAGCAACTGTGCTTATATCCCCAGACCTCTTACGTTTTAAGACTTGATCTCATTGAGTTGTCTTGATTGGCTCAGGCAGACCTTGAGTTTTCAATCTTCTTGCCTTGTTCTCTCAAGAGGATGGGCTCTTTCTTTTTAAAGTAAGTATTTTACTATGGCCTGGCACAGTGATACACAACACCTTTAAACCCAGTGTTCTGCAGCAGAGATAGGCAGATTCTCTGTGAGTTGGAGGTTAACCTGGTCTACACGGAGAATTTCAGGTCAAAGTGAAGTAAGTGCTTTTTAAAACGATTGGTCATATAACTCCCACTCTGGCCAGATTTACCTAAGCAGCTACCTCTCCCCCACCTCCACCCCTGCCCATACACCTCCTATATGTCCATTTCCTGTCTAGTTTCAAACCACCATAGGGAAAAGATATTTATAAGAAAGTAATGTTTTTGAAAAAGGAACTAATGCTTCCTGCCCCATCTCTGTGTGGCTAGTATAGGGCAAGCTTATATTGCCACAGGATTTCTGATCCACAGGACAGCAGGGACAGAGTGTAGAGACCCATCCAGGTGGAAGGGCACATGGTAAGGGATCAGTAACATCAGGTCAGTGAAGAGAGAGGAGCCAGGTGGGATTTCCAGGACACACGGCACCCAAAACTTCCTCGTTCTTCCTCACCATGGACTGCGGCCAGAATGGGACTTAGGAAATATGTGAATATTAGAGTTTCCTGTGCAGCTGAGTTTGGAACTGGGACTCATATCCACCAGACATGAAAACTCAATCACTATGTTATATTGTCCAGTAAAATTTATAGAGTTCCTAGAGTTTGTGGTTTCCTGTTCTTAATCCCCCCAATCTTATCATTAGGTATTCTTTGGGGACCAGTCAAGAAGCCTTTTGCTTCTTGGCAAAACATTTTGAGCATCTAAAATCTCCATTTAATGATTACCTGTGGAGTCACACTGCTTGAGAAATTGTTTCAGATGAACTGTAGCCTCTGTGCACCCCAATCCCATGTTCCTCTCCCAAAGCTAAAATAACCAGGAACATCGTGCCTTTTCTTCAAATGAGAAAGAAGCCCCTGTAGATAGTGATACACTATCTACATTGCCCATTTTAAGATTGACATAAATAACACAGTGCTTATCACCCTAATTTACTTTTCACTCATCACTATGTTGAGGCATAGCGATATTGACACAGCCAGTTCCAATTCTTTGACCTGTAAGACAGTACCAAAGCTTGCTTACCATTTTTCCAATTGATTGCAGAATGATTTTCAGTATTTCATTTTTAGAAGGAACAATTCAATGGCTACTTTTATAAATATCAACTTTCAAGCATGTACAAAGCCTTACCTAGGATTCATGCTAAAATAATATGGCTAGACTGTAGGCTAAGGAGATCTCCAGCCTGCCTGCATGCTGTCAAGCTGCCTTTGAAGTGGTTATGCCAGTTGCACGTCCATTAACAGTGTTTGAGTGTTTCCATTCGTCCATTGTCTTGCCAATGCGTTGTACTTGTTTTTATACTTTCTGATAACCTTTTGAGTTTGAATGTTATATTATTTTTAAATTTTATTTGCCTGTTTACTAGAGACGCTGGGCATCTTTTTATATGCTTGGTGAAAAATAGATATCTTCTGTGAAGAGCTGTTTAGCAGTGTTTGGGTTTTTATCTTTTGGTCTTATTGTTTTGTAAGAGTCCTCATGTTTTTTATTAACTGTGGTTTGGGAATATATTTTCCGAGTCTATACTTTCTCTTTATTTTTGCTATTTTAATACATAAAAGTTTTTAGTTTTGTGTAGGCAAAATTTAGGCTTTCCTATTTGTGTTTTTTATGTTATTTCAACGACTTAAGAGATAGCAAATATGTCTAAAAGTTCTACCTTTCACATTTATATCTGCAGCCATCTTGGAAGTGATTTGTGTGAGGTACAGGTTGTTGTAATAGAGCTCTTTCCTCCTGGCTAGTGACACTGGCTATCACAGAGCATGAAGTCATGGCAACAAGATAAGCAAAGTGATACAGTGAGAGCTAGGTTATAGTAAAAGCAGTGAGACTGTTAACATGCTCTCATAAAAGGAAGAGGCTATCACCAGAACCCTACTCCATTCTAACTCCACTGGAATATGTAAGGTGGAAAGCTGACTTGGGGGAATAGGACTCATGGATGAAGCCTTTATGGGTCATCACCCTTGTTAGAGTGGGAGCATTCAATCAGTCACCCATTCCAGAAAATAACCTCAATAAATCCATTGGCTCTCTAAGCTGGACTTGGATGGAATCACTTCTCTGGCTTTTTGCTACCCTGTATCAGGTAACTATGCCTTCTTTCTATCTCCACAGTAAAAGTCCCACAACAGACTCTCATTTCTTCTTGTGAACAGACATCAGCATTTTCTTAGTGAGATTTACTTGCTTGTGAAATCATCTGTCACATAAGATGTACTACAAAGCATGGCATTGAGTTATGACTCTCTGTGTGTGATGGTAATTACAACATGTAAAGTGATAGCCCACAATGTCTTCTTCATGATCTCCAGCAGTGTGGATGCATAGTTCCTTTGTTCTCCCATGGAAATAGTACAATTAGTCAAGGTTCACAAAAAACAAACAAACAAACAAAAACCCAAATATATACCCTGTGATTAATCAAACTAACTTTTAAAAATCAAATATATTTTTAGAAACCAAACAAAAACAATTTCATTCACCCTGTGTCATTCGTACCTAAAAGAAATACACATTTGCTTGAGACCCTAAAAGTCCTAGAACAAATGTTCTGATACTCCCTGGAACCATTTCTGTGGTAGCTTTGAGATAAAATGCCTTGGCCAGAAACTTTATTTTTCTAATCCCAGGGAAGATACAAACTCAGCAATAGTGTGTTGCTCCAAATGTCCAAATGGGCTGTCCAAGGACCTCCCACGGAGAGCTCCATAAATTTACAGCTTGGGTTACTCAGTGAGGTCACCCCATGCGGGTTAGTGGGCAGATGGCCAAACTTTGATAAAAGGCTGTAATCAGATTCCAAAACAAGTACGTACACACACACACACACACACACACACACACACACACACACACACACACACACACAGCCTTTTCATTGTTTCTAGTTTAACCTTGTGATTTATAACAATCTGGAAAAACTCCAAAGAGGACTATATCAGCTCAACCTAGAATAATGTTTCCAAATAATTGCTTCAAGTGTGTTTCAGGGAACTTCTATAATTTTTTTTTACCCATATGTAATTTTCTATTACAACAAGATTAAATAACAAGTACTTTATTTAATTTAAATTTAGCATAAGTCACAAGGAAATATAAACTAGGAGAGAATTTAGTCCAGTAATAGCTCCCAACCTTGACTGTACTATTATCTGTAGCCTTAAAACTATCTATTTCACTTAGTGGACTTCCTAGGGGAGGCCTTACCCTCTGTGTGGAGCAGATGGGAGGAGGGGGGGAGTAGGGGCACCAGGAAGAGAGGAGGGAGGGGGAACTGAGATTGGAATGTAAAAAGTAAATTAATAAAAAAAGATTTAAAAATGTATCTATTTCAGATTGACAAGGTGGTTCAGCAGGAAAAGGCCTTGCCATCAGGCCTGACTACTTGTTTGGTCTTCAGGAGCCATATGGAATAAGGAGAGACTCAATTCCCAAAAGTTGTCCTCCATCTCACCAACACATTCTGTGGCACGAATGCACCTATCTCCACACATACAAAATAAATAAATCAGTAAGGTCATAAAAATATCAATGCCAAATCTGCAAACCAAATAAATAATATTGGGCTGATGGGCCTAAGTCAGTGTTTTCCAATGGTCCCTGAGTGATTTCACTATACAGCTAAAATTGACAACTCAATGGTCTAATTCAAACATTTAGTAGATTGGGAAAGCGAGATTTGGAGAGCTTAAGTGACTTTTCATTATGTTTTTAAACTTGCCCTATTCTATATGATAGCCATTCTCAACATGTAGCTGTTAAAATTTAAATGTGTTCAAATCAAATAAATTTAGATTTGAGTTTCTGACCCATATTTCCCAAGTACTCAGTAATCCACATGTAGCTACTGGCTACCTTATTAAACAGAAAGGATGCATAGGTATCTGTCAAAACAGTACGTTCCCTTAGGTATTGCTTTAAGAGAAGAGAGGTAATTTTATATGTGTTCATAAGCATCTTTCTTTTTCTTTTCTTTTCTTTTTTTTCTTTTTTTTTTTTTGAGACAGGGTTTGTCTATATAGCCTTGGCTATCCTGGAACTCGCTTTGTAGAACAGGTTGGCCTCCAACTCACAGAGATCCACCTGCCTTTCCCTCCTGAGTGCTGGGACTAAAGGCATGTGCCACCACTTCTTCCATAAACATCTTTCTTTGAAGTGTGGCAAAGCGTTGTCTTATGCCTTGCTAAAGATTTCTATGTAAGCATTAATCAATTTCAAATTACAAGCTATTATTCCACAATGTTTAGTATAACACAGTATTTTTAAAGCAAGAGTATCTCACCAGTAGCATGGAGCTCAATAAAGCACCTAATACCGTAATAAAGATGAAAGCTTCATAGGCCATCATAGATGCCACTCAAATCCACATCAATCCACCTCTACCCCAAAACCCATGGATAATAATCCAAAAGAACCTGTTTCTTTGACTGATGAGCAAAGCATATTGGAAGAAATGGGAAAGTTACAATTCCCACTGAGGGTCTGTTAGACCCAAAGCCAGTTCACAAGTGTGTCCAGACACAGCCTTGACCCCAAGAGTGCATACAGGAAAGTGGTAGAGGGTAAAACCTTCTCCTGTGGATAAAAAACAAGGAGGAACCAAGAGAAACTAAGTTTTCTCATCCTTAGTATAATAAGATTTATCACCAGCATTATCATGTTTTTAAATGAGAGAACAGATTTTTGTCCCTTAGAATACCCTGGTCTCTTAGAATAAACATGCCCAGGACAACAGAGTTCCTGGAGCAGGTGCTGGTGCTGGCAGGATTTCTGGTGAGTTGGTAGAATTTTGGCAGTGCAACTATCTTAAAAAATTTGCTAGCTTTGTTTTTTTCAGTTGTGTTATGAAATTGAAATTTAATACCACTGTTTCTTGTGAATACATTGTTCCTTGTCATGTGGCTCAGTGTTTCCCATTCCCAAGTGTATTACATCAAGTCATGAGCTAAACATGCCTAAGATTAAACTAGAGGAAGTCAGTTAGCCAATAGCGTAAGAAGCCAATCTTAGAGAGATTACAGCGTCCCAAGCATTTTACAGAGATTGCATCATTTAATTCCCACAACTCACAATGAGTTAAGTACTAATATTATTCTTTTACAGATCCTAAATGATTTAGTTAAGGTCACACAGCTAATAAGTGGTAGAATTGAACTTTGAACCCAGGCAGTAGAGCTTTTAAAGGAAGCATTTTACTGTTTTCACCATGGACTTAATAAAAAGATCATACTTCATCTTTCAAGATCAGAGACACAGGAATGGACTGGTCATCTGGGCAGGGAAAAAAACTCTCCCTAGTAACAAGATGTGGATGTGGGCTTGGATAGCTGGGATTCCAAGATTTAAGACTGTTTTGTCAAAGAATGGACTTCTAGTCAATTTGACACTGATCTTTCCTGTTCTCTGGCAACAGTAGTAGTTGCAAAAACCAGAGACTAGGAAAGAGAAGGGGAGGACATAAAACAAAACAGCAGTAGCTGTAGGTGCTCCTCCACTGGTTATGCAATATGCCCCAGTGTCTGGGCTCTGGGAAGACTGCGGGGGAGGTAAGGTTTCCTGCCCCAAGGTAGGGGGCCTTAGATGGAGAGATACCTGCATTAATTAGATCGTTATATAAAACACCACCTTTCTTCAGGCCATATTCTCTTTGGTAACCTTTACAAATCTCAGCGTGTTTCCACATTTCATTTACAAATGCAAACAAGAAACCCAGTCAGCTCCAACATTACTAGCATCCCAGCTGGCACAACCCAAATTATTTTCTCACCCAGGCAGCAGCCTGAGGTTGTTATCAGTATCAGAATGCTCTTTGGGTCATTTTATAGCCACTCTGTTTCTTTGCTCACTGAACCACAGACTAATGCAACTTTCCCAAGTAGTCCTGTGTAAAGACAGCCCTTCGAACTTGCTTCTACAAAGCCTCAAGAGTTTTATTTTTATTTTTTCAAAGTGAGGCTTGGATGGGCTTGAAGAGATGACTCCAGATGTTAAAAGTGCTCGCTGCCCTTGCGCAGGACCAGAGCTCAGCTCTCAGCACCCACATTAAGAGGCTCACAACTTGCTGCAATTCCAACTCCAACTCCAGGGGATATGACTCCCAGCCTCTACAGGTACCCACACACATACACGTACCTACAAACAGACATTCATACAGACATATAAATAAAAAAGAAATAGACTTAAAAATGCTTTTAGAGGAGTTTGAGGTTCACCTCAGAGCTGAGTTCCAATCACGCCTCTCTACTGTCAAGATCTCATACAGAGCAATCTATCCATTACTAGTGTCACCCGAAGCCCAGCCGTCCCGTGAGTATTCCCCGTTGGTGTTGTGCATTCCATTGGAGGTAGACAAATGTATAGTGAGTGACATGAAGCCACCATTTTAACATTATTCAATTAGTTATCTTTAAATAGTATTGTCTTGAGTTTTCACATCATGATTTTAAAATATTCTTTATTTCTCAGAGAAGTTTTCGATTCAAATATTCAGATCAAATCTGAGAAGAAACCACAGAGTCACCACATATACCCTTCCTTCCTCCACACACACACAGCCTCTCCTATCATCAGGATCCTATACCAGAATACATTGGTTTCAATCAATGACCCCTCACCGACCAATCCTTGTCATCCAAAGTCCACAGGTTACAACAGAGATTGGTCTTTGTGGTGTTCATTCTATGGACTTTGAAAAGATGTTTAATGGCATGTACTCATCAGTATAGTATTATTCAGAATCATTTTGCTGCCCTAAAATTTCTGTGCTCTGTCTACTTCTCTCTCCCTCCTGCTCTGGCAATTGGCAACCACTGAATATATTATGGTCTCCATAGCCTTGCCTTGTCTGGAATATCAGAAAGCTGAGCTCATACAGTACATATAGTACATATCATAAAGTACATAGCTTTCCAGATGGACTTCTATTGTGTAGTAATATGCATTAAAGATTTAATTTTAAGATTCCAATTTCTTTTTATGCTTCATACCTCTTTTTTTCTTTTCAGAGACAAGGTCTCATGGATCCCAGGTTTGCTTAAGTTGGATATGTTGTCAAGGATGTCAATGAACTTCAGAACTTCTTGCCTCCACCTCCAAAGTGCTGAAATTTCAGGCACAATAGGTTTTATGTTATTCTGGGAATTGAAGCCAAGACTTTATACATGCTAGGCAAGCACTCTTTCAACGGAGTTACACCCCCAGCCAGCTCATTTACTGTGACCCCTGAATAATATCACATTGTCTGGATATACCACAGTTTATTTATCCATTCATCTACTGTGGAGCAGCTGTTGTGAAAAACTTTATGTGTGCATAAATTATCATTGTGTTTGGTTACATATGAAGAGTTTGATTGTGGATAATTTGCCCATAATTTTTAGCTCATTTACATTAGGTATATATCATTTACATTTTTTGATTAAATCTTCTTGTGTACATACAAACTCATGGCTGATTATGACAGTATATTGTGTGTTTCCCATCACAGAATATGAATATGGGTAATTTATAAAGAATAGAGTTATTTCACAGATTGTGAAGATGGGGGTGGGGGGTGGGAAGGGGTTCTAAGATGAAGTCACCATTGGACTGTTCCTCTCAGGTTCCAATATGGCACCTTGTAGCTGCATCCTCCAGAAGGCTGTTCTTACATGGGAGAAGAACAAAGAACCCCATGTGGCCCATTAAATTCATTAATGAAGGCAGAGTGATCAGAACCCAAAGACCTTCTAAAGCACTACACCTGAAGAAGCGGTTGCACTGTGGATGTAAGTTGCTGACACATAAATTTTGGAGGAGACAAACACATTCAAACCATAACAGGTAGTGTGTATACTCGGTCCTGAGAGTCCCTGCTTGTTTTTGCTAGATAATTCATGGATTGTCTCATTGTTTCTGGAAAGCTAATAGACTGTGAATTCACTACAAGTGCCTTTGTGCTGGGACTGACAGTGAGTGACAGCAGACAAGGTTGGGGCCCTGAGACACTCCTCAGGCAGCCAGCCTAAGAGCCAGAAATCTGCAGTTGCCTTGGCAACAGCTGAAGTTTCCTGTCATGGACTGAAAAGCACGATGTCTCTTCATTTGTGAAAAGTCTATTTTACGCTCTCAATCTGCCTGCAGCATAAATATGCCAGGAATGAGACCCTCAGGACTGGGTTTCCTTCTTCTGGTTTTGAAATACAGATTTAAAACTCATAGTAAGAGGTGAAAAGGAGGCCTTCCCTCCCTCCCTCCCTCCATCCCTCCCTCCTTTCCTCCCCCTTTCTCTCTCTCACACACACACACCCCTACTGCTATCAGGCACAAATATTTTATGCAGCCAGAATTCATAGTCTTGAGGTTCTAGACAATTGTATATTAGACACAACAATTGCTTTAGGTTATCACTGAGAGAAAGAATTCAGTGATTGTTTTTCAGAGATTCCCCATGTCATTTGTTGCATTTTTAGATTCTAACAATGTATTGAGTAGATGAAAAATCGAAATATCCTTAATAATCACATATTCGACAGTACTCACTCTCACTATATCTTAAGCATTGCTGAAAGAACTCTGCACATTCTCCAAACGCAACTTTGCTCTCATCTAAATGACTTAGGAAGCCCCCCAGCCTTGTATGGACAATAGACACTCCTCTCCTCTCAACCTCCTCTAATTGATGCTTCTGTTTGAGCCCAAAGGGCTGCAATTTCCTTGATTGTCTCTTCCTCAGAATTCCCCAGACTACTGCTTATCCCAAAAGCCTAAATTTCTGCCTGTGCCAGCTACAGGTATGTAAATAACATTTAAGCTTTCTTCCCTCCTTTGAAGAGTTAAGTACTGAGGCCCTAACAAACATCCACCAGGTTTTATTTTAGAACTAAGAGAGTAACTGAATTCCCTAAAGCAACAAGCTTCTCATATATCTACTCTACCTTGAAATCACGAGGGGGGGGGGCACCACCCAAGTGGATGATATACTCCGGCAAGGAAAGTTTGGCGGGAAGACAGAGGAGAACATTTATGTGGATGTTCTAAGTGAATCCAGCAGTTTCAACAGTCACGCCATGAAAGCAGATCTGCTCCTAGTGCCCTTTGGTAGCAAGAGGGAAACTATGAAGACAAACAGGACAGATTTTACGTGGCTTCCCCTTTGCCACAACAGGATAGCAGGAGGCCTAGTGTTGTAACATCGAAGTGTTCCAGTTGCAGTGAGCAGGCGACAGTGAAGCAGGGTAAGTGTCCTGAGAAACATGTGGCCGCATCTAAGGCAGTTTCTGTTCACTCGACTCACCTGCCTCCCATCTGGGTCTGAGGCAATCATGCTGCCTCTTGTGGGGATCTTAAACACTCTCAGTGCTCTGTAAATGATTCAGTATCCTAGAAGGTCCTGCACTGAGAATTAGTACAGAAAACTGACTCCTTATCCTAAAGAACTTCCAGGATGGCTATTGACATACTTGGATTTCAATACACACACTATGACAGGAGGTTGAATTCTCAGAAGGGCTATCTAATTCATGGGAGAAGAAACATCACAAACTAACATTCAGAGTTAGATTAAAAGAATTAGAAATGAGTGCTGTGCTTGGGAGGCAGAGGCAGGCGGATCTCTGTGAGTTCGAGGCCAGCCCGGTCTACAGAGCAAGTTCTAGGACAGCCTCCAAAACAATACAGAGAAACCCTGTCTCGAAAAACCAAAACCAAAAACACAAAAAAGAAAAAGAAATGAGTGCTGTGCTGTGCTGTGGAATAATCCTTTTGTACACTGTGAATATGTGTTTAATAAAAGGCCAACTGACCAGTAGCTAGGGAGGAAGAAGCTAGGTGTGAGAGCCAGACTGAGAGAACACGGGGATGAATAAGGGTGGAGTTGCCAGCCAGATGCAGAGGAAACAGGATGTGTAGAAAATGAGGTAACAAACCCTGAGCCACGTTGAGATAGCTAGTTAGTAACAAGCCTAAGCTATCAGCCAAACATTTATAATTAATAATAATAAGTCTCTATATGGTTATTGGGGAGTCAATGGTCAGGGGTTGGGGGAATGCCTATAAATGAGGAATATTATAAAGAAAATCAAGAGAGGCACTCTACATCCCCCTCTTTACAAAAGATTTGGCAATGGCACAGAGACCATGAGGTAGTCCTCAGGGAATATAAACTTATCAAATTCTTTTTTTTTTTTTTTTTTTTTTTTTTTGGTTTTTCGAGACAGGGTTTCTCTGTGGCTTTGGAGGCTGTCCTGGAACTCACTTTGTAGACCAGGCTGGCCTCGAACTCACAGAGATCCGCCTGCCTCTGCCTCCCGAGTGCTGGGATTAAAGGCGTGCGCCACCAACGCCCGGCACTTATCAAATTCTTAATAGAGCAGAAATGTCGACCAACAGAGGTAGAACTGAGTTAATGGAATAGACTTTGACTTAGCACAAAACTAAGAGGGAGAAATCAACGCATCAGAAGATCAGACAGGAAATAAAATGGAGTTGTTGCAAAACATATGTAGAATATTAGCTGTGTCTACAAACAATGAATTTGAATTTAAGAATGTATCCTTTAAATTTAAAGGTGCAGCTTTAAAGGTACAGTGTTTGTCCCTTATGCTATATACTTAGATTTGTATGTATGTATAAGATATCCACATTATTTATAAAGAATCTACGAACATGAAGACATGAAGTCACTTCCTGTCAGGTGCCAGAGCCCTGTGATTTAGAAACTTGGAATCACAAGTCTTGATTAAGATTTTAATCCATCCAGACACCCTCCCACCGAACCTGGGTGACAGAGAGAAGGCCTTGGCAATCTGTGAGTCCTTGGAGAGGGGAGCAGTATTTATTCCTAGCACACAGAAGGACTCTGGGAACCCATACCATGTGGAGGGATGCTCTCTCAGCCTGGACACATGGAAAAGAACCTGGCCCCTTCCTGGGATGATGTGACAGACTCTAAAAATCCCTCATGGACCTCTGGGGAGTGGAGGAGGGATGGAATGGGGGTGAGGAGTTGGGAGGATTGGGGGTGAGGGAGGAGGGGAGGAAGAGGGAACTGAAAGTAATATGCATAAAAAGTTAAATAAAAATATATTAAAAATAAAGATAAAATAGACAATCAAAAAAGATTTTAATCCATCTGGACATGATTTTGTGGTTTGTGTGCATTTGATGTGTTTTTAGAGGGAGGGAACTATACCTGTCATTATTATGTCGTATATATACCCTTCCTTCACACATACACAGCCTCTCCTATCATCAGGATCCTATACCATAATACATTATTTACAATCAATGACTCCTCACAGGAGTCCAGTGCTTGAAAAAATACATGCCCAACACTTACCTATAGTGACCACCAGTTCTGCCTACAAAATAATATGCCAGGCACAGCCAGGCTTGAACACCAAGTACATTCTTTGGGCTGGGAACCTTGGGTATTCCTGACTTGATGTTACCCAGGACAGGGGAAGGATGCCAAACTCACTGGGAACAGCAGTAAAGTCTGCTAGAATTTTTAGATACTGGGTTACATGTAGTCCTAAAAATCTTGTAGTTGTAGTTCCCCACACACATATTCTAAAGTGGGGGGAAATTAAATTTCAAATAGCTTCTCCAAGATTGCTTGTGGGATGTTTGTACACTGTGTGAAGATGTATTGCTGTGATTGGTATAATAAAATGCTCATTGGCCAACAGCTAGGCAGGAGAGAATGGGCGGGACTTCCAGGGGAGAGGAGAAAAACTAGGAAGAGGAATCTAGGCACACGACTTGGATCATGCAGAATGTGCCTTTCTAAGAGGAAAGTTCACTGAGCCATGCAGCAGAATGTAGATTAATAGAAACAGGCTAATTAAGTTCTAAGAACTAGTTAGAAAAAGCCTAAGCTAAGGCCAACTTTTCATAATTAATAATAAGTTTCCCAAATGGACTTTGGGAGTCCACTCCACATAAAAGGATACTCTCTCAACCTAGACACAAGGGGGGAGGGCCTAGGCCCTACTCCAAATGATGTGACAGACTTTGAAGATCCCCCATGGAAGGCCTCACCCTTCCATGAGCAGGAGCAGAAAGGGGGTTGGTGTGGGGCAGGGGAGGAAAGGAGGGAGAGGGAACTGGGATTGACATGTAAAACAAACTTATTTCTAATTTAAATAAAAAATAATAAGTTTTTCTGTTATTTGCAGGCTGACAGTTCAACAAAGTTTGATGAGAAAGCTTGCTATAATCGCTAGTTGTTATTCATTTCTTTATAGGTTTGACTCTGAAACCCAGATAAATAAATAAGTAAACAAACAAACAAACCCAGGGTATTTTCTATCGAGAAGGAAATATGTTGACTTCTTGAGGAACCTGATAGATACCGCTAAGTGGAAATTTAATGTTGATTCTTTCTTTTTTTTCTTTCTTTCTTTCTTCATTTATTTGAGTAGTTCTAACTCTTAAAGGTTTGGTAAGTGAGAAAACCAAGTTACATACCTTTTCTGTTTTCTTAACCTGCTAAATTAGGTATAATGGAAAGAAATATGACCCTGCCCTATGGGGACCCTGTTAGCACATATCTCCCCATGCCACATAGCTCCAAATACTTGGCACCTTCCCCGAACACCACACCAGAAAAACAGGATGTAAAATATCAGAAAATCTCTTCAAAACTTTGCCACACAAAAGTGGTCTTCCCTTGCCAGCCAGAACCTTCTCTCCAGGCCATCTGCAGAGCTCCCAGCAGCCAGCCTACCAGGAAGCCTCAGTCACCTGGGTCTCACGTATGACTTGGAACAGGCTTCTCAAGGTTCCATTAGCAGTATTTTGCTTTTAATTTTTTTTTTTTACTCTACCCACAAATTGCTCATCAGCAGTAAGAAATGGCCCATGGTGAGACTACAAATGTTACAAGATTCTAAACATCACAGAGTGGCACTTTTTGGCAAGAAAAACCCTGAGCTAATTGAGGAGAGAAAAATGAAAGCTCAATTAGCTAGAGAAAGGGGGGGAATCAATGCGGGGCTTTTGCTGATAGACGAGAAAGACGTGATGTGGACGTGCACTGAAAAGTACTGGCAGGCTAGGGTTACGTAAATAAGGTTAAAGACAGAGAGGGGGTTTGGAGAAAGACAACTTCAATTCCTGAAATTACGTTTACTGGCTTATCTCGTGTGTAGGCACATGCAT